GGCTCCGGTGTGGTGGCTGTCTGTCTGGTTGGCGATTGTTTGTTTCGGGCTGTCTGTGAAGATGGCGGCTTGTTTGATGGGCTCCTCCTGTGGCTTTTAGAATTGGCGGTAGCCTCTTCTATTGGGTGTGCCATTTTTCCACTGCTTTTTCTTTGGCGCCCGGTGTTGGTTTAGGGCTGTGTTGATTTCGTCATAAAATTTGTTTACTTTGTCGCACCTTTCTATTTCTTCTGGTGTTTTGTCTTTCTTATCTAGCTCTTCCCATTTGTATTTGAAACAGTAGTGACCGCTTTCGTCGTCTGCCTGGTAGGTGTTTCATTTTTGGGTTCTTCGTTCCCAGCGGTGTCTGTCATCTGTTCCTGGTGCTGCATCATTACCGCTTCGGTAACTGTGCTTTTGTCGGCTTTGTTGATACTTGGTTGCTTTACAGCTTTGCTGGAGGTCTCTCTTTCTTTCTCTAGCAGGGCAGGCTTCATTCTTGTCGCCAGCACTGCAGCTTCTGCTTTTGCCTGGATCATAAGGGTGACTTCTTTATAAGTGCTTTTTCGGGCTTCATTGAGTGCTTCGGTTTCCTTTCTTCTCTCCTCCCTTTCTTCTTGTCGGCGGGTCTCATCTGCTGCTTTTTCTGCTTGGAGATTTAGGGTCATTTCTTTTTCATTTTTTTCTGCATTTGTGCAGCCTCTGCTAGCCACTTTGTTTGCTGCTAGACTTGTTCTTGTCTGTCTACTTTCAAGGTTTTTATTTTGCGAAATAAGGTCTAGCAACTGGGTTCTGTCAGCATTGGTATCAGTAGCGTCAGACTTTTCTTTGTGGGGAGCTCTGATTCCAGCTAAAATTTCAGAAATTTGTAGCGAGATTTCAGGGTCCTTTGTGGCTGTGATCGCCTTATCGGCTCGTCTCTCTGATGTGCGTTGTGCTGACTTCACACTTGGTTGCTTTGGTGCTACTGGAGACCTGGGTGCCACGAATCTCTTTCTAACTGTTTCGTGAGCGGTTCTTAGTGTCTTCTTGCACTGCTGGAGATACGGACAGCCCATGTATCTCGCGCCATGTGCACCGGAACAGTTGGAGCACTTGCGGTTGCTGTTCGGTTTTTTGAAATTAGTGTCAATTTTGGCTAGCGGCCACTCCTTGAATTCGTGGTCCCCAGAACAGTATCTGTACAATAGGCCTCTGCGGCAGGACGAGGCTGTATGCCACGCCCTATTGCAGCATGAGCACTGCATGATGTCTGGTGTGTTGGTCTCAGGCTGCCGCTGCTTTCGTAGGCAAGGGGGGTCCTTGCGACGCAACTGAGGCGGCTCCAGGCGCCCCTGAAAGGGCGGCACTCTGAGGAGCGGCATTCTGTGCTGGTGATCCTGGTGTTTCAGTCGTTTTGAGTGTAGTTTCCATTTTCTATGGTAATTGTGAAAGTTCTCGATTTTATTTAGAGGTTAAACGCACTCCCTAGGTTTCAGTTTTAAAAAGTTTATAATGTGTATGTATTATAATTACCTAGGGCGTTGTTCCATCCTCTGGTGATTCTTGGCTACACTTGTCACCTATGTAGATCTTTGTTGCTGGTAGTTATCGTTTGGCTAGGTGCGTACACGGGCTGCTAATGACCCAAATGCAGCCGACCCCGATAGCTTAGTCGAGACAGACTCCGCCGAATGTCAAGCGAATCTGTCCAGTAGCTAGCTATCGAGAATCAGGCAACGAATGGATAGAAGGCGGGCTTGGGCGTTCAAAGCCTTGCTCGTGCGAAGGCTGTCAGCGAACTGAGATTGTTGTCCCCGAGACTTGTTTCTTCTTAGCTATTTATAGATTCCTAAAATATGCTTCCTCCAGTATCTGTGATGCTGATTGGATAATTCAGTTAATTTGGCGCCTCTACAAAATGTCATTAAAACTTTTAGGCACATATTTTAATTTGTCTATTACAAATAAACTCTTCCCCCCCCCCCCCCCCCCCTGAGTCTGAGGGACATTTAAATTTGTCGCATGACAGTCTTCTCCTTTCTCATCATGCTCAGTGAGTCAGTTACAATTACATGTGTGTACAGTTGATTTTCAAGGCAGCAGTGACTGCCTTTACCTCCATTCTCAAACTGCCAGATTTTGTTGCACTGAGCGACGTCCATTTGCTTTTGCTATGAATTTTGTCTACCTCTCAACACGGCCATTAGGAATTGTCATGAAAAATTTTACTTCTGATTTTGCAGCCCCTGGCCAGTCCATGCAATCATGGCCCAATGCGATTAGAGCCCTCCAAACGTCTTGGTTGTTGCACGGATACTTTGACACATTCCTCTCTTAGCCCAATATTATCAGGCTGGCATACATGTCTAATTGTGTCTTCAGCTTGCACCATCCAAGACCTTTTTCTCTTCAGTCTGTAACCCTTAGCTATAACTAGGGCTTCATGTAGGTGCTTCTTCTTGTCTGCAACTACTCTGAGATATGAATTTGTTTGCAGAACTATGGGCCTGTCTGCAACAGTAGGCAGTGCAAGTATATATCGCATACAGACTACCGGAGTATCTCTTGTGCATCTCAGAATTACCCCTAGAGGGGTGCCGAATTAAGTTATTAGAGTTATAAGATGTTATGAATTGAGGTGCTGTAATTATACAAGATTATGTCTTCAGGCAGTGCTATTATAGGTAAAACCTGTTTTTTCTTTTCTTATTATGAAACCAGACAGGATGTCAAAGTTAGCAGTTTATATATATATATTATATATATATTATCAGGAATTAATAGTATTTGGCAAGATTTGTGTGTCAATTGTTTACTGCTGGAATAATATATTTTGAGAAAAAAAACATCATGTTTTGAAATTGCAGGTGCGAAAATAAGCAGACCTGACTTTGTTCTGCCTGTCTGTAATTTGTTTCACTTTAAGTAGTAAAGAGAATGCATGATAGTGACTAAGTCTGGGACTGCTTAGATTCAAATGATAATAATAGCACAAGGACACATGCATCAGTAACCAGGCAGACACACACAGGCTATAGCACTTACATCCTGCAATTGAAAAACCTTTAATATTTATAATCATTATGTTGTCAGAAATGAAATTCATTTGCAAATAGAACTTTCACATCATGAGAAGGGAAGAAACTGGAGTATACCATCACAGCAGAAACAGTTGAAGGGGAAACAAATGATGAGGAGACCATGAGAAGATGGTGGTAGTTTAGCAACAGGGCATTGAAGATTATACGTCATATCATAAATGATTAGCAGCACACTAGACAGAAGAATGTGGACAGATGGGATGGCCAACGCAACATGACTTGGAAAATAAGAAAAAGATCAGAAGTCACTAGAATGTTCTGGCCTAACATGGCCTAAGCCTGCTGGGACATAAAGGACAGTAGAAGAATCATAAGTGTATAATAATTCATTTTTTGTTTTATATTGTTTGCATGTAAACTATGGAATGGATGTTTCAAATTATTCTTTTAAAAACATTCAGTTGGCCAGCGTGTGCATTAGTTGTTGTTCAGTCTGGACTTTCATGATTTGACTCAATGTAGTAGTAGTAGATGGAAATTTTCATCAGCTGTATCATTCCACTGTAAATAGCCAGGAGGTTTGCATCCCTTTTGAGTTGGGTCACCTTGGAGATATGATGCTTCACCACCAACAGTGATGCTGATTTGAATAGTTTTATTCCCATGTGGGTTCTGAGCCACATTATGGGGGGGGGGGGGTAGGAATAGACCCACTGCCTCTCTAACAAGTATCTCGTACTTGTTGACTAATTGGCAGCTTCCTGCAAAGTTAGAATGCATCTTCCCGAAGGGCAAGGAACTAACAGTCTGCATACAAATAAGTGAGGTCTGTAAAACAGATGTGCATGCAATACTCAGGTTTGGGAACAAGAATAAAGTCTAAGGGTGGATGAAAAACTAGAACCTCTGCTGGAGTTTACAGCTGGTCAGCGCGAAGAAGAAATATTTTGACCTCCTACCCTTATTATGCTCACTGTGTTCAAGACTGGTCAGTTATGGTCACAATTGGCAAAACCAGACCCATGGCTAGTTTATTGCTGTTTTCTACAATAGTGATTTTATAATTTTGTTAATGGCATATTTAGTGTTTATAGAGCCAGTTCTTGTATCATCATTATTGAAATAATTCAGATAAAGACAGCATAAATTATAATTTTTTTTTTAAAGGTTTTTAAAAGCATAAAAATAGTGGCTGTGAACTTCTTCTCTACCGCCATTCAATTCAGTGTGGTGGTAGGGGGAGCTGTATGGTTCGTTTGTGCGCTTTGTCTCATACATTGTAAAAGTTTGTGTTCATTTCTGTAAGGTTGCTCTTGATAGTGTCACTGCATATCTTTTGTGGTCTTTCCCTTGATCTGTGTTTATTATATTTCTTCAGCGTGGCAATTGGTACCAGGGCATTCTCGCCAGGTTGCCAAACCATCTTATTTGTTGTTCTATAATGTATTGTATGACAGATTTAAGTCCTAGTCTCCTGATTTCTTCATTCTTGATTTTATCTCTTCTTGTCGCACTGAGAGCTCTCATAAGACATCTTGTTTCTGTGATAACATATACAATAATTAAAGAAAGTCACTCATTAAATGCAGTTAATGTAAAATAGTTAGCGACCAGCCATGAAGTTGGTATAAAAATGTTCAAAGCTGTCTATACTGAACTGAACATGTTAGCTTATTTTCTGAGTATGAACTGAATACCTGAGGAATAGTACTGAGTAAATAATTTTTAAAAACATTCCAAGGGACTCTCGAAAATAATGTCTTAGGCTGTTATGATTGCTCACTGAGATTGTCTCACGGAAGTATGTTTAAGTTGGCTGTATTGAATATAATATATGTGTGATTTATATTCAATAAAACATGTGATAGGGCATTAAACATTATTGATAATCCAACATGTTTTGGTGACCACTGCAAGGACTGTTTATCTTCTCCAACAAAATGTATGTTTTTTTAAACTAGTTTTAGCATAATTATTTTGATTTTATTTTCAATTCAGATTGCATGAAGAGATAATAGATTTCTATGAGTACATGTCACCACAGCCTGAAGAGGTAGAAATGCGAAATGCTGTTGTAGAGCGACTTAGATCTGTGATAGGAGACCTTTGGCCTGATGCAAGGGTAAGAATGTTATTATATTCACTATTATCGATGTGTTCTTAATGGAAAACTTTTGTCTTTATGTTTGCTTCTATCGCCACATTTCTGTGTGATAATTGAATAAATGTGCTTATAACTATTGATGGCTTTTTGGTCTATTTAATTTCAGGTTGAAATATTTGGAAGCTTTAGAACTAACCTGTATTTACCTACGAGGTAAGGAAACTGTTATTTGTATATATTTGTGGTTTGGATTACACTTCTGTTTAGTTTCTGTGTGTCTCTTGATACTGTTGTGAAGTGTGTGGAAGTACTGTCATATTACAGACACATCTGTGATGTTATAAGACTAGTGTCATAATCTGTTGTTAAGCTTAGCACCCTTCCATCATTCCAGATGATAGTTATGTTATTTTTAGGGAGTCATGGGAATCATAACCATAATCATTGGGTGATATTCTGAACAATATACATCTTTGTTTTTGTCAGTTTTGTCCACACATTTCTGTTTTATGTATTCAGTGCATTTGTTGGGTTATCCTAGCCTCCTTTCTCTTTTTTTTTTTTCTAAGATTGTTCCCGTAAATATAGTCAGAAACCAGTTGATCCTACCTAATATAACTGTACCCTTGTTGAAAGCATGTTTTTGTAGATGTTTGCCTATGACTGTTTCTTTATCTGCTGGTACTCTGCATGCCTGGGGTAGGAGCCTGTCCTACTACTAGGCGTGTCCACCAGGTGAAAAGGCCTCTAGATATAGAGGTTAGCCACGAATATATTGAATAAGTAGCCATGGACCAAAACAGGCTGTGGTCATTGAGAGGAGGCGAGTTAGTTGGTGGGATAGCTTACTCTATAAAATACCTCAAAACTCTACGACGCGGGTAAGAGGTGCCTTAACCTCCCCCCCCCCCCCCCCCCAATTCCTTGCAGGGTGTCAAACCATATACAAACCGACCGAAAGCAAGGGGAAACCACCGCTGTATTATCCCTAGTAAATCATGCCTCAGAACATTACAAAATTAGATGATGTGATTCCAGTGGAATCACCTCTTCTGGTAGGGAGCATCATGTTCTACCTGCGTCATCCAACTACTGTAGAAAAAGTAAATGGTAGAAACATCCTGAACATTGATGCTTGGAATGTCAGAACACTCGTACAAAACGGAAAGTTGGATGACATCAAGATGGAAATGAAGAGAATGAACATCAACATATTAGGAATTAGTGAAATACGATGGCCAGGAGCAGGGGAAAATTATTCAGAGCAGCACTGAATTATTTACTCAGGTGGGAATTAATATAATAAGGGAGTTGGTATTATTTTGGATCCAAAGAACTCAAAAACTGTGAAAAGACTGGACAATATCAGATAGAGTACTATTAGTAAAACTTCGCGGCAGACGGTTTGACATCAACTTAGTACAGATTTATGCCCCAACAGCAGATAGTTCAGAGGAAGATATTGGCGCATTTTATGACAAGTTAGACATGGCTGTTGATCAATGCAAAAATTGTGAAGTAACTATGGTTTTTGAAGATTTCAACGCAAAAATATGAAGTTGAAAAGTGTACGGAATAACGGGTGGCTATGGCCTAGGAGAAAAGAATGTGAGAGGTGACAGATTAATAGCATGGGCTGAGTCACGCAGCATGATAATAGGTAACACATGGTTTAAACACCATCTTTGAAAATTGTAGACTTGGAGGAAAAGTCCTGGCGATAATGTCCGCAGATTGATTATATTTTGATTTCAAGAAGATTCCTGAGCAGCTTAGTTAGAGCAAAAACTAGACCAGGAGCAGTCTGCTTTAGTGACCCTGTTCCAGTCATGAGAAAAATTTGAATAAAACTAAAGAATATTAGAACACCACAGAACATCAAGTTAAATTTAGGAATTCTTAGGACGGATAAAGAAATTAAGGAACAGTACATTGTCACTGTACAAAACCGGTATAATGCAATGGAAATTATAGACTATTGATGAACAGTGGGATATGTTGCGTGACTCAATTCAGCAGATATCAAAAGAGACAATCCAACCAACCCAAAGAGTTGCAAAAAAAGAAATGGATGTCAATCAAAATTCTGCAGTTGAGGGATGAAAGAAGTAAGAAAAAGAATGATAAAGAAGAATACTCTAGAATACAAAAAGAAATAGTGAACAAATGCAAAGTGGCTAAAGAAGCCTGGCCAAATCAAATGTGTGCAGAGATTAGGGAAAATCGTAGGAAAGACTCACATTCCATGTACCAACAGATAAATATGTTAACAGGAAAGATGACGCGTAACAGCACTGGATGTTTAAAATCAAAAGATGGTGGCTTAATAATGGGACATAGTAATATAATTAACAGATGGACAGAGTATATAGTGGAATTGTATAATAGACCAGATGTAGAACTGCAGACCAACAATGATAGTCCACCAATAATGACTGCAGAAGTTGAGGATGCAATACATCATATGAAGAAAGGAAAAGCACCTGGGCCAGACAACATCTCACTGGAAGAAATCGAAGCACTTGGAGATTTTGGAATTGAAATAATAACTAAACTTTTAAATGATATTTATAATAGTGGATATATTCCAAATGACCTTTTAAAATCCATATTTATAGCTCTGCCAAAGAAACCAGGCACTTTAAAATTGAAGAACATCGTACAATAAGTCCTATGAGTCACATGACTAAGATTTAATTGAGAATAAGTATGAAAAGAATAAGAAACAAAATTAAACCAGAAATCAGCGATGAACAATGTGGATTTGTAGAAGAAAAAGGTACAAACAATGTCATATATATCCTAAGGACATTTGTTAGAAAGAGCTATAGAAGTAAAGACTTATTTGTACTAATGCTTCATAGACTATACAAAAGCATTTGACTGTAAAGCATGAAGAAGTAATCAAACTGTTAGAAAAATTAAACATTGATGGAACAGATCTATAAATAATAAAGAATATGTATTGGCAGCAAACAGCAGCCATGAGAATTAACAACTGTTTAGGTACATTTCAAAGCATAAAAAGGGGCGTACGACAAAGATGTGTACTGTCACCTGATTTGTTTTCACTATACAATGAATATATCATGAGATCTTTAATTCATGTGCCCGTAATTGTGGTTGCTGGGCACAATATCAACAATTTAAGTTATGCTGATGACACAGTCTTGATAGCAACAAGTCAGAAAGAACTAAAGAAAATTTAAGACATTGTGGTGTTAGAAAGTAGAAGAATGGGCCTCAGTTTGAATAATGAGAAGACAGAAGTAATGGTGGTATCAAAGAAACAAATTATTCCTAAATGTGTAGTAAAAGTCGATAGTGTTATTTTGGGACAAGTACAGAAATTTAAGTATCTGGGCACATGGATAACATCAGATGGAATTGTGGTTGCTGGGCACAATATAAACAATTTACGTTATGCGGATGACACAGTCTTGATAACAACAAGTCAATTATATCTTTGTCTTTGAGAGTTAGAAAACGAATTCTAGCTTGCTACAAACTTCCAGTTTTAACATATGGCTGTGAATCCTGGACAATCGGTAGGCAGGCCAAACAATTTCTAGAGACCTCAGGGATGTGGTTTTACAGAAGAATGCTTAGAATACCAAAAAGAGCAACCAAGATGTTTTGAAAGAGGCGGGAGCCCGAAGACAACTTATCACAGGCATCGGAAGGAGATAGTCATTTTTCGGCCTGCATATGAAGAGACTAGGAGCATCTAGGATGCAGAAAAGAGTTACAAGCAAACTAAGAGATGCGACAGTGTATGAGGTGCCAAACTAAAGAGGCAAGATAAACTACATGCCCTAGAGTGACGTCCTGCATATGCAGCAGGATCTCAGGTCTTTAATATAAAACCCTTTTCGGTACGAGAACGTAGAAATTAAATAGTATACAATTTAGTTAACAAAAGGTTAGCATCGCTTCAAAGCTTGTTTTTGGTTCTTATAGGTGTTTTCAGCTTTAAAAAAAAATGTGTCATCCGTGTAGCATTGGTCTTTCATTTATTTCTCTGGCTTTCATCACCAACAGTCCTCATAGAGTTTGAATATATAGTACAAGAAAGGATGTGTTCTGAAGAACATTAATAGTTTAAATGTTCTGAGTCTCTCTATCTCTTTTTCTCTGCGTGTGTGTATCACACACATGCACTCTGACTTGCAGTGCAGCAGAGCTGGTTGTCATTTGCAAATAGCTTTTGACAGAGGTCCTTGCAAATGGTTGTCTTCAAAAACCACTGCAAATTGATGTAAAAAAAACTGGATGTCGTCAGGGGCCTTTTGAAGCAAGCAAACAATGCGGAGGCACAAATAAATCATAGTCTGGGGAGAATAGTGCAGCTGGGAGTGTCCAGAAGATCTTGTCAACTCTTAACACTCAGAGGAAAAACAAGACCAACAAATAATAAAACCGCTACTGGCACTATCGGTATTGGAACTCTTTACTGTCTACTAAAGATGGCGGAGCACTTATGGGAATGTCCTGAGCACAGTGATGTCAGCTCTTAGCTAAACACTCTTAAGAAGTTCAAACATTTGAAGATTGAGAATTGACAAGACCATATATTTGGTCTGATCTTAACAGGGATGTCTCAGTCATCCAGTTTGAACCCTTTATATGCACTGAAAATTGCATTCACGTCAATTTTCAGAAATCAAAAGTTATTGCACATAAAGCATACACAAAGCTAACTCAGTCTGGATGTGAAACAAGAGTGTGTATGTTGTAATACAGAAATAAGACTGGCTGTGTAAAGGTAAATAGACAGGACTCAACAATAACTTGCTGACATCATAGCCTATTATGCAAATCAGATCTTGCTGAAAAATATTTTAAACACTTAGAAGAGAATTGTCAAGTGCTCTGTTAACATATTTTTTTCCTAATGTTTACCCAGGACTTATTCCTAGTGATATGCAGTACCTGCACCTTTTAAAGACGTTTGTTAATTGCTACTTTAATAGACAACTTTAATGATTGGTTGTGTTTGCAGTGACATTGACCTGGTGGTATTCGGAAAATGGGACTCCCAGCCCCTGTTTACATTGCAAGAGGCATTACTGAAAAGAAAGTTGGCAGATGCCTCATCAATTAAAGTATTGGACAAAGCATCAGTAAGTAAACATTTAGTATTGTTTGTTCCTAGCACTTATCTAAATATGCGACTTGTATTTGAATCCGTACATCACCTCCAAACACTTTACAGAGGTCACAGGAGGAAACATCAAAGTATTTGAATTATTTGCAGGGATATTATTACTATTATTTAAACATGTACAAGGAAATTGTGCCTAGAATATGTGAAGAAATAATGTTTACACGTAAAGTAGCTTGCGTCGCTTGATGATCTTTGATGGATGTTCTGTCCAGGATATTTGGGTGTATGCGGTAATGAGCAGCCTGATGTAGTGACGGCTGTCTGGCATCAAGGGGACGGTGCAGCAGAACAGAATATTCCCACCTTGAAAGACAGGGGGGGGTCCCCTTAATCATGTTGCAGCTGGTACTGTATCATGCCAACATTAATTGGCTACCAAGGAAGGGGACAGAGAGTGGAAATATCCCCAGTGCACTGATGTGTATTTGATTCATTTTTTTGTGTGTTATTCTGAGTTTTTTTAATTGTTCTTGTGGACTACCTTGATATGAGTAATTCATTTTAAATTCTCATTAACGCAATATGCCATGTGGAATATTTCAGGTGCCTATAGTCAAGCTGACTGATATAGAGAGTGAAGTGAAAGTTGATGTGAGTTTTAATATGGACAGCAATCAAAATTATGGTGTAGAAAGTGCCCAACTCATTAAGGTATGTAGTTACAAATGTATCGGTTATATAATTAATAAACTGCTGGCTGTACTGTGCCTGTTTTATTAGCTTTTTGCTGCCAAATTTTTCGTAGGTACCAGTTAGTAGTTGTGCTTAGAAAAGAAAACACCCACACACTGATTAATTTATCACTGATTATACTGAATAACATTTTACTGTCATAGTTTTGGAGAGTCAGTTAATTAACAATTTTCTTTAATATGTAAAAAAAAAAAAAAAAAAAATTTTTAAATATTTTATTTTTAAACAATTAAATCATCTGCTGTTTATTTTTAAATTGTCTTATTTTTACCAGAATGCATTACAAAGTTATCTACTCATGTGTCATTTGTCCGCATATTATATACTAACATTGTTTTATCTTCATCCCCTTGCTGTGCAGGCATACATGGAGAAATATGTCTGCTTGAAGTATTTAGTGCTTGTCTTGAAGCAGTTCCTACTGGAAAGAGATCTCAATGAAGTGTTCACTGGTGGCATCTCCTCATACAGCCTCACCCTTCTGGCTATTAGTTTCCTCCAGGTGAGATTTGCACTTGTCTATGAGAAATAATTTCATCCATTCAAGGTAATTTCACTGACTATAATGGTGCTAGATGAACATTTTTTATGTTTTCTAGTTCTTGGTATTGTGAAGAGGGGTGAACAACTCCGGGAACCCAGTTCTGACCCAGTTTCTTTGCTATGGGACAGGAGACCAGTCTCTACAGCAAACTCTGATTTTCACATCTGACCACTTGCATTCAGACTTGATGAGTTAGAACTTCAGTGAAATTATAACCATATGAATCGGGTCATTCACTGATTTTTTTTTTTTTAAGCATTTGAAAAAATTATTATTATGCTTTGGTTGTAATAGAACCTATATATAAATTCTATCTTGATAAACCTAAGTGAATCTTGGACAGTGGGTAAATTGGTGAAAACTTATTTGGAAGCTGCATAGATAGGTTTTATAGACAAATGATGTGAATAACCTGAACAGATGAAGAGAGCTGATTGTGCACATCAGAAAGAGACTATGTAGATTCTAGATTCTTGTGATCATGTGATCAGAAGGAGAACTGGATTACATCATGAGAGTAGGAAAGTTGGAGGAGAGGGGAGGCAAATGGAGACTGAGAGAAAAGATGCTGCACAGTTTGACATCTTGGCATGGAGTATTACCTGTGTCAGAGTTGATTTAAAGTAAAAGAGACAAAATGTTGTTAATAGACATGACTACCAATTCCACACTGCATAGTCTTTAAGAAGAAGCAATAAAACCCAGACTTCTTTATGAATATTTGTTTTGTTTGTCCATCATTGCTAGAGTAAGCATCTCTGGCTAGGGGTTACAAATGTTTACTCTGAAACGCTAGGTTCACTTCAGTTACAGGCATTCTAGCAGCAGACCAAAAATATCATGGGGTTGACTTACAGCACCCTTTAAAGGATACACGACCAATTTTTATCATTGCAGAAGACATAAATCAGTGCTAGAGGGGCTAGGCACCATTTGAACCTGAAAAGATCTGTCACATTAGAAAAGTGCTGATTATTATTAAATAACTATTTCTGCCAGGAATTAGTCACTTTACTTCAAAGTTATGCAATGCAACTGCTGGAAACAAATTAATCTAACTTATAATGATGTTTTAATTTGCATTCTCCTCCTTTTGTTTGGACATATGCACACGAACATGCACACACACACACCCCCCCCCCCCCCACCCCTCCTAGTATGGTGTATGTTGTGCAGGTGTTTCTTTGTTTGGAAAAATGTAGATTCAGAAATAGTAGCTTTCTGTCAAGCAGAAGAATCTCTGCTAGTGACCAACAATGTCGAGAAAGAAAGGCAGCTAAAGACATTAAAGATAGAAAGGCAACTGAAGACATTAAAGATCACAGCAATAAATGTAATGTGTGCTTCTGTTAATTTGTACTCTGTCAGCAGTGCAGTTTGATGATGGTACATTATAGTCCAATATTGTAATTAATGTATTGTATAATTAGGGTTATGCATGCTGCACTAGTCTACTCAGAAATCAGTAATTATACCTGCAACATTACACGATTTCTCATATATTAGTTTTACTGACATCAGTATACACATACATATGTATCAGTAATTATACTTGCAACAGTGCACACATACTCATCTGTTAGTAGTTCTACTGACAACAGTACACATAAACTAATATACCATCAATTAACAGGAGTTCTTAACCTGAGCATATGTTTTCCTTTTTCTCACCTCAGCTTCATCCACGTGAAGATGCAACAAAACCAGACGCAAACTTTGGTGTTCTGTTAATTGAATTCTTTGAACTGTATGGGAGGAATTTCAATTATCTGAAAACAGCAATTCGTATCAAGGATGACGGAGCTTACCTTCCAAAGGAGGAGGTTTCTAAAGAAATGGAGAATGGGTACAGGCCGTCACTTTTGTGTATAGAGGATCCCTTGAAAGCTGGTGATTACCTTCATATTTTTCAGTGTTATGGGTGTGATCTATGTGTTTGCATAGAAGAAAAATACTTAACATCAAATGGCAAGAAAGGGCCCGGATGCTGTCGTATTGGATAGAGCTGGCATTCCCAGCATCTGTACCATCCTGATACAGTCACAGTTTGATGGGCAGGTAATGTCGTCCGCAGGCCAAACCATCCGCTCCCAAAAAATAATCCTGTATGGTGAGATATGGGGAGGTAGATGCTTTCATTGGGGCTAGAGAAAATTCCTTGAACATAGACCTTGACACTTGGGAGGCTTCTGGTCAAGACCTGACTACATGTCAGATGTTGATTCAAAGAGGGGCAGCCAACTGCCAGCTTCAAGAAAAAGTTCAGCCAGGCAGGCTAGAAGTACCGTACACCAGGAAGCTTACCCGCAGACCCTGTTCCCTGCTCTCATTGTCCTAGAACCTTCCAGGCCCGAATTGGGCTTATAAGTCACCCCTGTATTATCAGAACTCAACTGTCATTTCATGCAGAATGAAAGAGTGGTCCTCATTACTTATGGTGGACAAACGTGTTTGAATTCACATTTTTGTCATGGACAATCCTAGTGAGAAAACCAGTGATAGTAGCTTTTTTTTTTCTTTCCTATATTTCTAGTAATATCTGTACAAGAAGTATTCTCATCAGGGCCTTTGCAAGTTCACATGAATCATGGACTTTTACCCTGAGAGTGTCTTTGATATCCTGTTGGTTTTGGATACATGTTGCTGAAATTGAGAGCTCGTTGAGGCTTCCATTTAGCCTTGGCAAGTTAAAGTTGATGATAATATGGTCTGAATAAGGCACAGCAATTCCAGTTTCTAGGCATTTGGATAACACCAGATGGACAATATACCACAGACAATAAAAACAGAATAAGACAAGAACTGCCCTTAATAAAATGAAGATTTGTATATTTGCCGCTTTCTTCAAATCTTGTTGTACACGAGTCATTAATACACCATAAAACTGTTTGTTGTTTTTGTAATTGTCCACTCATGATAATGCTGTATAATTCCAGGAAATGACATTGGGCGCAGCTCTTACGGGGCCATGTCAGTAAAGCACGCTTTTGAGTATGCATATCTTGTGTTAAATCATGCGGTTGCACCTCACAATTTACACCTGACAACAAAAACTCAGAGGTAAGAAGAGTCTTGTTTTTGACTGTTTGCATTTCTGTTTTTAAAAACTGGCACAGTAATGTTAAGAAATTTTAAATTCCTTAACTTTTTTTCAGAAAAGAAGGGATGTAACTTTAAACATAATGCTGAAATCTCTCTCTCTCTCTCTCTCTCTCTCTCTCTCTCTCTCTCTCTCTCCCCCCCCCCCCCCCCCCAAATTTTATTTATTCAGCATAAGCCTGGCTAAGTTTAGTTTAAAAAATAGCTGGTAATATAATGTGTGCCTTAATGCTTTACTTTTTTTCAGGTTTCTTTTAAAATAATTACCCTCTTTATATTTCGGAAAAGAATGTGTTTAAAAAAAAATTACAATAAATGAGTGGCCTTGTACAAATTGTAAAGGATTTTCGCCCGAGGATTCCTCATGGTTCATGGCCCATATAAAAAAAAATAGAATTACAGGGGCAAAAGGGTAAGTCTCTCTTTAAACAAATTCATTTCATTTTTAGTAGAATCATATGTATTTTTTAAAATTTATTGGTAGGAATCTGTAGTACATAGATCATACGTGTATACATATTCTGAATTTGCCCTTAAAAGGATATTTGGTACATTGTATTAAAAGTTCAAAGCTGTGCTATGTTATCTGCATCTTTCAGCTCCAAACAGAAAACACACTACGGAGTGTACTTTTATTGATATGCCCTATCAATACTCGCTTTCTTGAAATGCTTAGAAGGTCAATTTTCTTAAGGCCATGTGCGGGTGTTCATAACAGTAAATTTGAGTCAGGTTGAATTTTTTTGGAAAAGTTGGTTTTTACACGCCTTAATATCTCTTCTGTCAGATTCAGTCATTGGTATTTGGGATGGTGGAATTTCAGGTTACTCATTCACGGCCGATTTATTGACCTGAATAAAAACTCTGAAACTTCCATGTAGGGGTGTATACATGACCTCACATTACAGGTGATTCCCTTTGGCTGAAACTGATCACGTGGGTATCTGATTCTCAGCTATGGCTGCTGTGGTCGATTGTTAACACAGAGACCACAAGATGGCGATGAATCAAAAAAGCTTTGCTTCAAGAAATCTAGACTCCACTTGGCCAATCAGCTTAAGAAATCTCGAAGTCTACAATTTGCAAATGCTCATAAGCAAAGAAAGGTCTACCAGAGCATCGTTAACCTTACAGAAAATGTGAAATGCTGTCGTATGGCAGTTTTGTCACGTACCTTTACTATAGGATCATTTTCCTGAGATCCCCAGGTATTCTGAGACGGGGGTATTCTGAATGCTGGCTCTTGTTTGTCTAAAGGCTAAGTCCTCGGTTGAAACATACATTCAGCCTATCTCAGGAATGAGGTGACTCGAGCTCTGACTCCACAGGATTAATACAAACTCTTGGGTGCAACTCGGCCAAACATCCTCATTACTAATTTTGCCCCATACTGGAAAACAACGCTAACAGTCGTACAAATATGCAACAGTGGATTCGACAAAACATTTTAATAATTTCAACAACAAGCAACTAGATCAACTCAACTTCGTTCAAGAACAAGAAGACTTTCAAACAAAGATCATTGTGTAGAGTACTAAAACATTAGGAGACAACTTATTCAACTGGAACAGAACAAACATTCAACTTGACGTTGAAGAACTAGAATTAAAAGACAGGTCTCTATCAAGCACCACTAACAGATCCATTCTCATTAGCAAAGAGAGAGAAGCGAGTTAGCTCAAGGTTCGAGAGCGGTGGTTGTCACAATACTCCTTGCGGATAACTGGACTTATCTGAGTAATATCCACGAGCGTCTCAGCAACACAGGAGCATGGATCTCTACTTTCTTGACTCTCCACGCAACCAAGGGAAGTAATAATTCTCGTCGCTCATGATGTAGAGAAGGATCAATTCATCTCTTAGTGACGTTATCTGGTGTTAACCATATACAAGTTGACAATCACTTCTCGACTTCTTCTGGGAAGTAACTCGGGCATTGCAAGCAATATAAGTTTTACCCAATGCTCAAATACACGACATATATGCAGATGACATAGCGATACTGCTGGACTACACAGGATGGCAGTCGAATGGACAGTCTGACTATTGCTTGGACACTTGTTGGATTCTCCGGCATCCCATGCAGACGAATATTATCTGAGAAAATAGATTCTCTATTAACGATCAAGTGGTCGCAGTGCCAAAACACAACTGTTCACTTGAACAGAGTGAGTAGTAGTGACGTACAGAATCCTAGTCTCTAACTACAGCCGTTGGGTAATGATACGGCTCAAACTTGTAGTGAAGCGGTCAAACTATTAAGTTTGAACAGGCACAGAAAACGTGCCGTATTAAACATATTGACACTATACGCCAAGAAGGACCAATTTAGGAGTGATTTTTATACGTTTCTCACATCTGGACGCCCCAATAACAAAAAAACTATATGTCTACGGGCGGACTATCCAAGATATAGATACACCAGTTAGTATGGGGTGTCCAGACTGTGGGCAAGTCATTTGTGGTAGGGGAGTTGATGCTGTTATATGACAAATGCAACACATCTAACATGCTTGTTTCTAGAATCGCTGGAATTTCGACAGTTAGTGATTCTGTACTATCGTGTTCTAGTTCTTCTCAAAGTTGTGATACTGTTCTCGTAGAAAAAACCCGAAGCAAGATTAAGAGACATATGTATGAATATATGACGACCTCTAGCAGCATGTGTGTTTCTGTTGATAGTGGACATAAACAAACTTGAGAACAGAGGAGTGGTTGAATTTTCCAGAATTGGCAAAATCATCAAAACGTTGTATTGTCCAGTATATAAAAATACTGATCTTATTTTGAAAACTGACAGCAAGAAAACTCGAGGATTAGCTGTGCATGCAGAAGTTTACTGCTCTTGTTGTGAAGTATCAGTTTGTGGAATGTACCTAGCTTCAAGAAGTAATTATGGGGACAGATTTTTTGCCATCAGCGACCAGTCTTTTTATTCTGCATTAGTTTGTGGAATGGGTGCCAGAGCATTCAGAAAATTTTGTAAAAATATGAACCTGCAAGGTGTTCATCACAAAACATTACACAACAAAGCAAATAAATTATATTCAGAGTTAAAAGATCTGGAGGGCATGTTTTTCTCTCAAACGTGAAGTACATTCGGCAGCATTACAATAATGTGCTGGATATTACTGTCAGCTGTGATGGCACTTGGCTGACGAGAGGCCACACATCCTACAGGACTTTGCACAGAATATGCATGTTATGTCCACATATTGTCAGGTGTGTGAAACCACTGGTAAGAAAGTTTCCAAATCTAAACCAGCTGAATTTGGAGCATGGAAGGCAGACCATCTTCTAAACTGTGATAACAGTTTCATGAAATCTGCTGGACTGATGGAGGTGAAGGCTGTAGGAGGGATCTGTGGCCTGTCATAAGCTTTGCTATACATCAATACTTTATGATGGTGATACCAGAACATTTGGTGAACTTACCAAGATCAAACCTCGTGGGGAGGACATTCACATAGACAAAGAGAATGTATCAATCATTAAATGCCCTGGAACACACTCTGTAATGTTGTTACTGACTGCCGAAAGCAAGGCATGACCCTAAATGGATGTGGTAAAGGTCAGCTTACACAAAATGCTATCCGTAAGCTGACAATTTATTACAACAGAGCGATAAGAAACAACACAAGAGTAGAGTCCATGAGGAACAGTGTATCACTGTATTTCAATAGACAAAACTCAATGAAATGTGCCTATGTAGAGAGCAATATTGGTGGGGGGGTTTTTCATTCCGCCCTGACTTAGCACCAGTCCTTGGGTCCTCATGCCAAGATGTTACACACAAGGCTCAACTGTGACAAGCTACAGTAATATCTTTTGCAAATTTATGAAAGGCTTTAGGGAAAGGATGAGTATGGCCGCTGTTTGTCTTGGATGTCTTTAACAACCCAGCTATTAAATACTTGACTGCATTTTATAATTTGTCCTTTTAACTGTTTTAGTTCTCTGTTGATTACTTTAAATGGTCTTCTGCAAGCAATCTAAGAGATCACTGTTGACAAGATTTTTTTTATATAGATGCCTTGCTGTGAACCAACAGCTAGATATTTTAGAAAACATGATTTGTATGGTTAAATCTGTTGTTTCTGTTGTCCTCAGCGTATTAGGAAGAATAGTTAGAGTGACAGATGAGGTTGTCAAATACCGCCAGTGGGTGAAGGCAAAATTTACAAAACAGGCAGACCATGAAAATATTAATGCCACTCCAATGGAGCCAGTAAAATCCTTAGTTTTGCAACCCAGACCTTCACCACAGTCAACACCCACACCACCAGCTCCTCCAGAGGTGACCAGTAGGAAACATATTTCACACCATCGTCAAGGAGCTACATATGCTGCTGTTGTCTCCAAGTAAGATTTCTGTAATTGTAGCTTGTTACTCAGTTATCTAGGTGCTGTTTTCTCAAGGGAAAGGGGGGGGGGGGACAATTTCCAACAAATCTGTCTCTTGTACACATTATTGACGGCCGTTCATTCACCTATTGATGTTATCCTTCCACATGTGTTGTTGCATACCCATTGCCTAGTTTTTCCAGCCAGTGTAGATTCTTATTATTTGTTGTAAACAGAACTGACATAATGGCACCTCTGTGATCTGACACCTTCAGGAGCCATCCATGGGGTAGTTTTCTTGTCTGTGTCAGTAGGGGTGCAACAACAAAGGATGCATTTTGTCACATGCATTGTTCTAGGTTTAATTAAGAAAACAGCTACCACCAGAAATTACATTTGTTAGCCTCTCTTTGATAGAGCAACTTGATGATATGGACTTTGCCTTCCTGTGCCGCACATGAGAGTAAGGCAGAAGAAGAATGTGTTAGATGCTGCTTTCAAATAGTATTTGACTAGTTATTTGCATTTGGTAATATACGCAGAGGGCTGCTGCAAAGGACGTTCCTAAGGAAATGCTTTCTGTTTGTTTATTATGCTGACAAATGTTTACCCTGAAAAGCGGTGTATAACTGGGTGAAAGAAATTCTCTCAAGGACACCCTAAAATTGTTGGTGAAGTCCGATTTGGTCTTTTTTTTTTAGATTGCAACAGACGCTCCTTGTAGTAGGTGAGGAGAGGATTAGAAGTGACAGGTGAGTCACAGTTGACTCTGTAGCAGCTGCAATAGGGTGCTCACATGGTTTAACATACAACATAATGAAGTAGAATGTGAAGTGAAAATGTGGTTTAGAAATCAGAGCACACAGTTCTCTGCAGCAGGTTTGGAGGACTGATAAAATGATGGGACGAGTGAATTAGTGTTGGTGGAAATTACATTAAAAAAATAAAGGGACAATGTAGGTAAACGTTTTTTTTAACAACCATTTGTGACTTATTGGCTTTCGCTTGTATTACACTAGTCAGAAAATTGTGAAGCTATTTGTACCAGAAATAAAAATAGCATTAAGAATGCTATTCTACATTTTTCTTTTTATCCACTGACCCCTTCAGTGACATATCAGACTGCCCCAGTTTAGATAACCATTGTATGTGGGTGATAGTCTGTTACCTGTGCCTTTAAAAAAATTTCTTCTGGTCCACATTTTTTATGTGAGGCGATTTGTTTTGATCTTAAATCACGTGCAGACTTGCCAGTTTTGCACTGAAGCTTAGGCAGATAAATTGGCTGGTTCAGCACCACTTGGTAGTAAATTGCACATCAAGCTAGATGTGACCATAGTCTTTGGGAGCAAGTTAACAACGCAGAGGCACAAATATATCATCACAGTCATTAGGAGAATTTTGTAGTGAGGAGTAACCAGGGGATCTGGCTAATGCTCAACACTTCAAGGAAAAGTGAGATAGACATACAGTTAGTTACTGGCACCATCAGAATTGGAATTGTTTGCTGCCGAAGATGGAGATGAAGCACTTATAGGAATGTCTCGAGTGTTATGATCAGGAAAGAAAGTCACAGTAACGAATGCCATCATGGGGTCAGATGTATTAGTTGACAGGCAAATTGTTTTCCTCTAAATATTTACAACACAACTGTTTTAAACTGACACATACAGATTTTTTTAAATTCACTTGGGTGTACATATTTGTGTACTCTTCACAGTGCTTTTATGTTTAAAGTGGACTTGGTATGTTACTGATTTCATTATATACCCATAGCATCACATTAAAGGTGTGTGAAAGCTTTCGACCTTGAGTGAAATAGACCAAGCAAATGTGACATTTCAGAAGTCCCTTGTCACTTTCATTGAATATTTCAGATGGAATGTTGAAATGTTTATCTACCATTTTCTGACGTTTGGCAGCAAATATTGGATTAAAAGAAGAAATTAAGAAGAGTTTGGAGGCAGTGGAAATATGGTTTCTGAAATGGATGTTGCAAATTCCGTAGAACTGGCAAGATAAATAATTACTTGGATTCAGGCTGTGTGAAATTATGATGAGACAGTAGAATGAATGATGAATCAAGAATTGCCACTGCATTTGGAATATTCGCACACATTCTCCTCCCTCCTCCCCCCCCCCCCCCCCCCCCCCCCTTCAGCACCCAACAACAAGACAACATACTAATAGTACCTGCTTACAACCTGATAAAAAGTCCGCCTATGTTTTCACCTCAGTGCTCACTATCTTCCAGAACCTCTACTTCCACAATGCCCAAAACCCCTTCCCCCCCCCCCCCCCCCAACCCTTTTCCCCCTCACTGAATTAGTCTTACAGTGTTTGTTATGGATTGTCTGTTCTGTTGTACTGTCTGTTTGAACCAAGAAAGCCGTCCCCACATCTGCTGTGTCATAAAGTAAGACTGGAATGTAGGCACACAATCAGTAGAATTGATATGGAATGCGAGTACCAAGATTCTGTGGAGAGTCTCATGTCTTTGTTACTTTGTAAGGCACATGATGATGACAGAGCTCTCAGACATACACCCTGGCTTACTTAAAATGTTCCTCACCATTTGTCATTTTTAACACCCATCTAGTTATACCAATGTTATCCAAACTCTTTTCCAAATGACAGAAGCTTGTGGGCTTTCACGGCTCAGTTTGGAGGGAGAGTTGTGAGGGAAGATAGAGAAGGGCTGGGTCCAACGGCATTGGTTGGTGGCTCTACAGAATTCACGGCTGATAAGGATTAGTTTCATTTTCGTGCCAGGATATGTGGGAGTACAAGGAAATGAACAAGTTGATAGGCTTGCAGGTAAGATTGCTGTGAAAGCCAGACAAGCCATGGACCAGGCTGATATACTGAAGGCTCTAAGAAAGTTGAGACCTTTGCGTGAACCAGCTGAGAACTGTGAATTTGCAGCCATGGTCAGACTGCAAGAACAACATGTTAAACGGGGTGTCGCCAAACAAGAACACTATGCGGGTAGCCAAAAAAAGAATAATAAACCAACACAGAATTGGAGTCGTTAGCCGCTACACGCTGCAGGATTTACTGAGGTGGGGATCCGAGCGCTTATGAACAGAATGGTTCGACGTGCAGTTAGAATAATCTATCCACTAGCTAACTAACAAACTTCCAAAGGACATCGAGAAGTATAACATTATAGGTGTGGAAGTCTGTTTCTTGATCATTGCAGCAGTCCTGTAGAATTGCCTTCATTAGGGCTAATGGAGCTCTGCTGTATCGCACCTGGCCTGCCTTAGGGACCCACTGTTTTGCCAATGCTTTTTTAATATATGCACAATCTGGTTGGAGACAGTAGAGGCTGTAGGTATTAGAGGATTTACATTTGCTGACAGATATGGTGGATAAAGTGGGGAGCATCAAAATAAATGGCAGTAAGATCATAATAAAGCTGGCAAGGACCAGGTGAAAGGGTGCTACTGTTTAGTAAAGCGGACATGGTGAAGGCTCTCTGAGATCAAGAGTAAATGTTGCAGTAGAACAGACAGTGCAGGCATATCTGAAAGAATAAGTGAGCTGGGGGGTCTGGATGATTTTCCACCCGCAAGGAAAAAAAATCAGGTGCACATTTAACACGGCCGCTGCTTGCTTAATCAGTGCTAGGAAGGGAATGACTCGAGTTCAGTGATGTCAAATATTCATTTATTTATCTTTGAAATAACTATTTCAAGTTAATAGGATGTGACATTTGTCCTCCCCAGTGGTACCTCTATCAGTGGCTCTGGAGACAAAAGAAGTTCACGTGGTGTGGGTACTCAAGATGGTAATGTGGAAAGTGAGACCAGTGATTCATGTGGCAACAGCTCAGGCTACAAGTCATCTTCAAGCTCTCAGGCCAGTTCAGAGGGAACGCCAAGTGATTCGGTATGTCAGTTTTGTTATTTCGGGGATAATAATTTTCCAGCTGAAATTCGGGTCAAGCGAGCTGACCTACTTAAGTCCATGCTACATGACTTTGTTTGCCATGCCTATTTACAGCCAGGTGTTTTTTGAGTGCTGCCAGTAATTCCATATCTAGATTTGTTCTGTGCCCTGATGCCAGACTGATTTAGTATCTCTTGGCCGGCCTTCCTATCTGTCCCTTTAACTTTCTTGTTACAGTTTACTCTGGTTTTCCTATCTTATGGTCTACCCAATGAACATGGATTCTCCTGATGCAAGTAACCAGTTCTGTGTTAGCTTTATGTGTTGAAATGTATTTTATGTGTGAGCTTTATATGCTACTATATTTTATCTGTGATATATTGCACAATCTAGTTTAATTATAAAAATATAAATTTCCATTGGTGGCACTAGCTAACCTCCTAAAGTTCTTCACCAATTGCTTTCAAATTTTCACACAACATTGTATTCAACTGCGCACGTTTTTATGTAAGAGTGTTGCACAAACCACGAACTACATAGCTACAGCAACAATAACATCAGTTTTTGTATAGTTACTGGCCCGGAATTGTTTTTAGTTCCGCTGGTGGGCGACCTTTGTTGACTCCAGACCTCTTCACGAAACTACGCCCAAAGGTCTTTACCGATTACTTTGAAAATTTCTCGTTGCATTCGAACACGTGCGTTTTTATAAAAGAGTGTTGCACAAGGCATGAACTACATAGCTTCAGCAACGATCACATCAGCATCTTGGTTTTGTTTTCTGTCGATCCGATTTATATTTCTTCTTTTGCAGCGTTCACAGCGCAATTTGTTATTTACGCCGATAGGCAACCTTTGACTGTTGACCTCGGAAATCTGCATGAAGCAGGCCGTTATGGTATTCAGGAGTTGTTTCAAATCCTTCATAGAGGGAAAGAGAGTTTTTGGGAGGGGGGTGTTAGTGATGACAGTCAGTGTTGACTGAGAGAGCTGAAAACACGATTTTAATTGAGCTTAAAAGATTATTTTAAAGTTTTCATTGTAAATTATTTATATTTTAATTACGCTTCCTCAGCTATCCTCGTGTGTTTTTTCCCCTTTGTTTTTGTGTGTGATTCTTTCCGTTTTGAAATACAGTGGTAAGCTTTACTTTCAGCTGTTTAAAGAAATGTTGTTTAGCACAAAGCAAACTTATCTTTTGAGTCTTAATAATACAATTTAAACCAGCACTACTTACATTCTGCGTTTTCTAGAGTTGGCAAATTAGACTTTCGCAGACAACTATTATGATATTAACCATATTAGACACGTGAGCGTTCTATTTTTTCTCTATTTCGCCAAACTGAGCCACTGCAAAGCATTGCAGGTACTGCTAGTTAAAAATAATAAAAGAATATATCGAAACTAAAGAATTTTTATATGGTGGAAGAAATGAAGTTTTGGCAAGTTGTACATGTGTATATTTTATGTTTTATGAGATTTCTAACAGTAATTAATTTTTTTTTAAACCAGGAATGTGAATGTGGTGCTGAGAACAGCCAGCCTCGTCAGCAGCTTTCTGCCACTCAGCACAATGGAGGTATTGTGACATGTAACAAAAATGGGTGGTCAGGGGCATATCATAATGGTCACATTTCAAACCGAGAATTTGTGAGAAATAAAGAAGCTCTCAGGGGCAGTTCCAGCGGTAGCAAACCAACACGTGATACAAGCAATAGCAGCATATCTTCAGCCTGTTCCTACAAAGACAGCGGTAATAACACTGTCACATATGCATCCACTGTCTACCCCACACACACAGGTTTTTCTGGTTACAGTGGGGAGTCTGTTTCCACTTACTATGCCCCCCATGGTCACCAGTACCAGCACATGTCTTCTAATCCTGGACATTCTCGAGATAGCAGAGACCATTATGTTACTTCATATAGCAGTGTGGCCACTAGCAATATAGGTCAGCCACAACATGTTCACCAGCGGCCACCGCCAGCGCCTTTCTCAAACGTTCACAATGGCACAAGATCAGCTAACATCAAGGTCTTTAATCGGAGCTCAGCTGTAAGCAAGCAGAAACGAAAAAATGGCAGGCAGGATCATTCTCAGAACAGAGAGGCTAACAACTCTAGGTGATGACAACTTTCGCTCTGTTGATGGAGCGTTAAAAAAAATAAGTGCACAAAACTTGCTTTGCTGTCAACAAAGTTTTTAGGCTTTGATCATGCTTGCTTATGTATGTGATGTCATCATGTGTCAAAAGGTATGTATTTATCACATCTATCTTTGAAATGTTTGGAAGGATTTAAATCTTCTGTGGACCCAGTATCATTGCATTTTCTTTTCTGGACTTTAGATTTTAATATTTTTTTTGTTTTTTTAAATCAGCCTCATGTTTTAGAAGTTGGTATACAAAATTACTAAAATTGGGGGACATATTTCAGGGAATGGTGTGCCAGATATTCTCATGTGTCTTACATATAGAGATTTCCTTGAATCTGTCTAATGTTTCATAAATTGATTAGTTGAAATTCTGTACATTTTGGGAGTCCTGCATTTGTTGTTTCAGTCAAAATGTCATTACATGTGACCTTTTTTTTTAATCATGACTTGTTGCTTATTCAGTCTCCTAGGTGTACATATAGGCTATACAAATTATATTTTGAAGCGTGTTCATTGTCATAATGTCAGTATTGATGACACCCTGGTCATTGAGAGAGTTGTTGCTGAGACATTGTGGTTATTTTTAATGTTTGACCGACTTACCCTTCCCATACTTGACACATGTACATTATCTGTTTTTATTAGTTTGGGCTGGTGGTGTAAGGTCTGGTTTAACTTCTGTTGATCTGTGTTTGTATATACCAAGTGCAATGCAATTGAATGCTTTATTGTGTGCCTTGCCAGCCTGTCCAAATTTTTGTTTGGGCCTTATGAACAGCACCTGTGAAAGAAAACACCAAAAATTACACTAACATGCATTGATCCGTAGTGATCTCATTACAGAGTTAATATCGGCATTGATGACCTATCACTGACTTTTGCAAAGTTGTGTAGAAACTTGGAATGGGATAGGTGTGATCTTGAAAATACATGTTATTTTAGTTTGTGTATGTGGGCTTGAAGAATCCTGGTGTCTGTATATCTTTCAATAATCCTTGTGTCAAAATAAGGTAACTGTATGTCATTTTATTGTGTGTATATGTTTTTGTGTCAGTATTTGGAGTGTTCTGATGGTAAAATGGACAGTAGGTAACATTTTAATGGTTACAATTGTGGCAAAGTAACAAGCAAATGACAATGTGTTTGACAGTCTAGTAACAGAGTAAAAAGCAGATGAAAATGGCTTCAGCTGGTTGCAGTAGCAACATTTTACAAAAGTAGTTGAAAATGAATTGACAGAGTAACAGTAGGTGAATATGTGCTGTCTTTATGGACTTTTCTTTATCTGTAAAAAATCATGTAAAAACACTGGAACTCAGACCTGTGCTGAAAACATCAAATACTCTCAGCACCAGACTTTGGACAGACTTACCTGACATAGCAGCAGGTACGTAGCAGCATCGGACTTTGGACAGATTAACCTCACAGCTAGAACAACAAAACACCTTCAGCTTCAGACTTCAGACTAAACTGTGACCGATAGTTGAAAGTTGAAATATTTTGCTACTGAAATATACACTTGTTTGTGAATTAAACTAAAATATTGTCATGTGTCTAGATTTTTAAAACTCATAATGTTCATTCAGAAACTGATATTTATCTTTTATTGTAACTTTGTTTTGAAATGGCATAACTTTCTGTGTATGACTGAATTATTTGCAAACTTAAAACTAAAGTCTCTATATTGTATTAATGCAGTCATAACAAGACTTATGGGTTGTCTCCTCCCCCTCCCCCCTCCAGTCCCTTTATAAATATTTATGTTAGTATGTCATCTGTTACCTGCTCGCAGACAATGTCCAGCCCAATCTCAACTAATTCAAGTTTAAAACAGTAGCCATGTGTTTAGTATATAGGCTTCCTTCTTTTGTCACTGGGCAGTTTGGTTTGATAAACAAACATCATGGCACAAGGGTAGTAACCCATAAGTGCTCTGTCCTGACTCAAGCCTACGTCCAAAGAATCGCAGCAGTGTTCGAATTCCGCCACACCGGCGAGGATCCCGGGCCAAGCCACAAGGCTATCCTCTTCGATTACCAATTGCCAATGTTTTTGTGTGTGTAAAACATGCCCAGTAGTACACACGGACGCCCGATCTTTCTACCCAGGGACCCAAGGGGAAATTACTATGAATCCACATGAAAAAATCCCAGCCTAAACCTAGGACCTCCAGCACTCGAGGTGGACTGGACAGTATTCGACCTGAATGTTGTACATTGATAGCTGTTTTAAAAATATCCTAACATTTCCAAAAATTAAATTTACCAGATTGGATGACAGAATGAAATCCAACTTGCAACATTTATGTTTGTAAATCAGTTTAAAGCCAAAATAAAGTTAATTAAATTTACCATAAGACAGACCTCATCAGTTAGTTGTCCCCATGTGGGATGCAATTTTTTGTTATTTAAAGCCCCACCCTGGATTTTGCCGGGGCCCTAAATATAGCCGGGGCATAAATATGGCCTAATGGATGATCCTCATCCGCATGGTGGCACTCTGTGTCGCCGGGTGTTTATTGCTTTGTTTGATGTGCTGATGGGGTACAACTTACATCATACAGGGAGACCAAGAAGATGGCAGAGAAATCATACATATATATGCAGCCCTTTAAACATGTGGAGTCAACAAGAAAAAAAGTCCAACAGTCACATAGATGTATGGAGGTGGACAATATCTGCAGCATGAGCCTCAAAGGCTTGGAATGCTGAAAAAGAAGAAGCAAATTTTGATTTTTAAATAATTGCTTTAAGTTATCCAGACTAGTTTCACGGTCAAGATGCTGAAGAAGGTCTATGTATCTTCCAAGTCAAGATCGGTGATATAACCAACTTGATGGATACTTAGGAACTTGCCAGATTAAATCTTTATTACCATAACTTACAAAAACTTTATGTTTAACGCGTGCTTTTAACATAAGTGTGAAAGTATCAGTGTGTGTATTGTGAACTGATTTCCATCTCTCCTGTCATCCCTTCTCAGCCTCCTTCAAAGTCTCTATCAATTATCCCCTTTTCCTGGTCTCATGACTCATGTCCCTTCTCACTTGTCTCCCTACTCACTTTTATTCTCCATAACGCTTCCTCACACTGCTTTTGTTTCCCTTCTTCCATAATTCTCTTCAATTTATTTCTTCTCTTCTGTCAATTATCTGTGCTTCCCATGCAGATTAAGGGCCCCATTGAAGGAAGGAAAGAATAGACACACTGCTCTCTAAAAAGCATGTTGTGAGAGTAAACTAATTAGGGTTTTCCTTCTAAGTTGGAGTGCATCTGCCTGAGAGGCAAACAACCAATAGTCTGCATACAAATAAGTAAGATCTATAAAGTGGATGTGCACACAAAGCTCATGTTCTGTGACAAGATTAAAGTCCAGAAGTGGATGAACAACCAGAAATGTCACCCAAAGTTTACAGCTAGTATCTAAAAAAAAAAATATATGTGCACTCTTAACCATTAGCCTTTGTTAGTCACTGTTATCTGTGGTACTTGTGTATCATTTGACATCTTTGTTTTGCAAGCTATGATGATTTATTTAACAGTCTTCACCTCAAAGCAGTTACATTTAGTACTTTTTTGGGTCTTGAATTGTTACACTTTTATAATTTGTGTGTTACTTTTTTTCAAATTCTGTGATATTAGCATATTTAGATGTTCTCTTTAAATATTTTGACTACCCCCCCCCCCCCCCAACCAATATTCACATTGAAAATACTTTACATTTGATGAATAATGATCTAACATAGTTTAGATGTAACTTCCACCTACATTTGAGATATTGGGTTTTGATATGAAAAAGTAAAACAAAAATATGCCTTTTATATTCAATAAATACACATTGACGACCACTTAGACTAGACTTCTGATTTAAATAATTGTCAGTTAGGCATTACATGACAGTGTTAGTCACTTTAGTGTTTATTTTGTCTGGTTTATGTATACTTCTTTAAAAAAGAAAAACTACATACTCTCAGACACACATCTAGCATGCATGATGTCAACATTCCAGTGTTTTGGAAATCTAGTAAGTGTCCTTCTGCAGTTGCAGATAACATCTCATAGCAAATAAATAGATTCCTTGATACTTTCAGTGAATGTGTAGTTGGTTTGTGTTTTGTGAATATGGTAGACAGTTTAAGGACAAAGTTATCTATGTTGTTTTTTTCCACCTGCATTTTGTGTGTGTGTGGTTATAGTTTGTCGACAACATGCCCAGACACATTTTATCAGTGATTCACCTTTCAGGGTGATGCACCCCTCCCATTTCTTATTCGCCTTCCTGGGGCACTGATTGCAGAACCGCTCCATTCGGATCAGGAACCTAGTCATGGCTGTTGGAAAAATGATGTCCATAAAGAAGCTTCCTTAGCTTTGGAAACAAGGAGTCTCTTAGTGCAGTGTCTAGAGAATACAGTGGATGGGTCATTACATCCTGCCTGAGTACATAAAGGTCATGCCAACTTCCTGGTACATGGCTTTAACTCCAACACACGAAGAAGAATGCAAAACCCGCCCCTCATATAAGATAATATTATCCAGCTCCCTAGAATCTATATACAGTTTTGCAGATTATCTTTTACTGTCTTGAACGGATAATGCTACAACATTGATCTTCTATTTCTGTAATCCTGACAATTCTCTGTTGCTTGTTTCTGCTAGCATTCAGTAGTTTGGAAGATGCGATCTATTGCCCTCCTTGACAAGTTAGGGTTTTGTTAGATTTACAACAGGTATCTGTTTGTGGTGATTTGTTTTGAAAATGATATAAATGAATAGATTTTTATGAACTTGGACAAAGTAAAAGAACAGACCAGTTTCATGACAACATGCAAAGCCTGTTTGTAGTCTATAGAACGTATAATTGTTACATTGAAACAATGCAGAATAAATCAGTAAAATTCATCATTTATCTCTTAAATGTGTGTTTTTTGGTTTTTTTTTATGTTAAAAAGTCATTTTGACAGTTGTTGATTT